AGCCAGTGCAGCTGGCTAATAGTTGACTATCAACGTAGTTTCGCTGAAAACCGGAAGGAAGAGCTGGTTTTCAGCAAAACCGTCTTAAAATGTGGCCATGTGATGGTGGGTTGTTGCAAATGGCCATAAAGGCGCCATGTTGCCAAGCACTCACAGTTTAATCACTGGATGGTGGAAGAGGGCCGACCATTGGAACTTTGAATCTGGGAGATAAATCCCCATTTTTAGGTCAGTCATAACCAGGATGGATTTGATTTAAATCGAGTTGATTTAAATCATGATTTAAAACACTAGTAAAAAGACCTGATTTAAATCAACTCGATTTAAATCATAATTTTTAAAGAGCAACTGTCATCTCTCCTTTGACCCGCTGTTGACTCACCGATAGTCCCAGTGTTGCAGAATATACAGCCTTGTGCTACATAACTAAGCTCAATTTCATGCTGAATAAATTATTTATGTATCTTAAATAGAAAACTATCTTACAATAGATTTTTACCCCAAAAGTTTTTTAATTAAAATAAATTCAATAAAAATCAAAAAAATCTGATTTGAATAAAAAAATCCGATTTAAATCAAAAAAATCTGATTTGAATAAAAAAATCTGATTTAAATAAAAAAATCCATTTTTTAAAAAAAAAATTAAAAAATCATTGATTTTTATCCACCCTGGCCGTAACTTCAAATTGTCGCTAAGTGACAGGTCATAAGTCAAGGGCTAACTGTAAATGTGTCAAAGACAGTCTTTTTTTTAAAGGCAAACCCAAGAACTTTGATCAACAATGGAGCCAACCTCAAGGTCTCACCAGCCCTCTGAGTTCACCAAGTTTGATGGCACAGCCAAATCTCCAAGGACTTCTGGAAAAGAAGGCAGAACAGAGCTAGCTAAACTCACTTCAGAAGGGAGAATGTTCCAGAAGGCGGGTCCCATGGCAGAGAAGTATTGCCTTTGCAAACCCACCAAATGCAGATCTCTGAGAGACAGGATCCACAGCATGCCTCGTACCAGATCCAGTGAGATTTCAAGATGTAAACATCTTTCTTCAATAGGTGGGTTTCCCAACAAGTCTCAGACCTTTGCAAATCTGCTCAGTGGGCCCCCGTCCAGCCCCACGACAGTAGCCACCAAGTCAAGTTTGGAGAGAAACGTCCATTTGGAGCAGTGTTTTGTTTACATCACACAAGTAAGGAAAACCACCGCTTTTTCTCTTGCTCATCCAGAAACATCTGTGCAGACGGGGACCACATTTGATGCTAAGCCATAGTTGGTTGAATAATGGTTTACTGAATTGGCTAGATGAGCAGAACAGGCCAAACTATCCCCTCTGCTTCATACAATGGTTGCAACCTACAGCATGTTAAGACCAAGGCAAAAGCAGGACATACTGTGGCTCAGCATATGGCGTGAGAAATGCTGGAATATTGGGAGCTTGACCCAGTAAGTCAGTTGTCTTAGATCAGGTTCTCCACACCTGGTCCTCTCCAGGTGCATTGGCCTTCCAGTCCCACAACTACTATCCAGAAAAGCATCTGAAGGCCAACTCATCTGAAAGACAGCAGGCTGGAGAAAAGAAGATCAAGATGGATGATCCTGCATCTCACTTGAAAGATTTTTCACACCTCGGTGGCTTCTCTTGGCAGCCTCTCTTGGGCTCACTTGTGACCTCCCTGCATTTCTTTGCAGTCTAGTAGTCCAACAAGCTTCCTTAGCCAGGCATTCCTACACACCTTTAGATTTCTCCTACACCTTCTGTCTACAAGTATCCACCTCGGGATCATGAGATTCATCCTTCCTTCCTTGCTCCACTTTAGGTCCCCTCCACTTCAGAAGAATCAACCAACACCCACAAATAAGCCCAATGTAGACCCACATGAGCTGGCTGGCTTCCAGGCATGTTGTAGGACAGGGGTCTCCAATCTTGGCAACTTTAAGACTTGTGGTCTTCAACTCCCAGAGTTCAACTCCCAGAGTTCCTCAGCCAGCTTTGCTTTGCTGGCTGAGGAATTCTGGGAATTGAAGTCCACAAGTCTTAAAGTTGCCAAGGTTGGAGACCCCTGTTGTAGACTCAGACGCTGGACTCCCATCTTATCTTCTTAGCCCAGCAGCTGCTAAGCCCACAAGCTGAAGGCCACTTCCTCCAGCCTGGAGAAACCCTCGCCCCACTGGAGGGAAATTAAGGGGGTTATAGTCAGAACAGGAGGGAGCTGCATTGGGAAGCTGCTGTGGATTATGGGTCCTTTGCCACCAACTCCCTGGTCACAATATCAAGCACCTATATCAAGCCTATTTAGGAAGGAGAAGAAAAACATTGTCTACAATTCTAACTGATGGAAGTCCTATCATCATCCTGGTGGTGCCTGACTACAAATAGGTCATGGGTAGACTTCAACTCAAGGTCAAGCATCCAATGGATAACCAACCCAAAGGAACAAACCCACACGGCCTTGCCTTAACTTGCCATCACTACACCAATGAGGAATTATGTCATGTCATTTGCACAATGACATCATGAGCCCAGATGACATCATCCTGGCTTCTCATAGCCGGCCACTCATACCCTGCATAGACGGGATGAATAATTTTCGGAGAAGGAACGCTAGTCGAATCACTCGGTGTTTTACAGAACGTTATGCACAGCATGTTATTATGCGCGTAATAAATTGATCTGTGACCTAACTGAATGAGCCAGGCCTACGCAACATACTGTACCAAGCCACACCAAAACTACCCAAGGGCGAAATTAAAACTCTGCACGTTGCACACACTAAGTTTATAACTGACCTAATTAAGAGTGTTGTGTGGATACATCCTGCACTTCTTTTTTCATTTATTTGAAACTTCATCCCTCTTATATTTATCCCCTTCTTTTTCTTAAAGCAGCCGTGAGTTTCACCTCAGTTTATGTGCTTGGAAAGGCGATGTCATGGACTCTGTCCCCGTTAAAACTCAGGAAATGAGGGGCCAATTACAATGGCTCCATCTTTGTGGAGGAATGCAGAAGTTGGCTCTTTGAAGCCAACTGCAAAAGTGGAATCCTGAGACTCAAATGACCAGCCTATGTTGAAGTATCACTCAAGACAAAAGGTGCCCCACCCAGCATTCTCTAAATGGGTTTTTGCAAAGTTATTTCATGTCCAAAGTCCCTGGTGATTATAGCTAGCAGGGTTTGGGAAATTTCCCCACATGGAAAAAAAAAAAGGAGAAATCTTGAACAAGGTTCAAGATTTAGGGTATAGGGTAGAGTGATCCTATACCAGGGATCTGCAATCTTAAGTACTCAAAGAGCCATTTGGACCTGTTTCCCACAGAAAAGAAAACAGTGGGAGCCACAAAACCTGGGTGGGCGTGGCCAACTCGATGTCACTCACTTCCACCAGTCACATGACCCCTCCCTAGCCACACCTACCCAGCCGGTCATTAGGGCAGAGAACCAGTTGTTAAAAAACACCAGGAATCACAAAATCCTTTTGGCATATCTCTCTCTCCCCTCCCTCCCTCCCCCCTCTCTCTCCCCCTCTCTCCCTTTCTATCTCTGTTTCTGCCCTGGCCACTTCTCCATCCCCCGCCATCTCCCTTACCTACTCAGGCCAGGCGAGGAGTGACTGGGAGGGGAGGGCAAGGGGCAGGGCCAGCCAGTGGTGGGATCACCTGACAGGGAGCCACAGCAGAGGGCCCAAAGAGCCGCATGTGGCTCCGGAGCCGCAGGTTGCTGACCCCTGTCCTATTCCCCTCTCCCACCCCACTTCTATCAAGCCTATTTAGGAAAGAAGAAAAATATTGTCTACAATTCTGACTGATGGAAGTCCTATCATCATCCTAGTGGTGCCAGACTACAAATAGGCCATCATTGAAGATGGGTGGACTTCAACTCCCAAGAATTCCCCAGCCAGCCTTGCTGGGCCATACCATATTTTTGGAGAACCAGGCCAGGAATCAGAATTTGCAGAGGCAAAGCTCTTAATAAGGGACAGGCCCAACTGGTCAGACGAAATGGGGGGAAAAAGAAATACATTTTTGGGTGGTGGATTAAGAGAGCCGTCATCCATCCGTGAAGTGGTGGCCGGGGCCTCAACTTTCTTTCCCCTTTGTGCAGCAGAGATGCTGGACCGCAGGCCGGCCTCCACCCCATCCCCTTCACTCTACCCCACCCCCTTCTTTCCAGGAAGGCCCAAGCCCAGCCAAGCCCACCCCTCCTGCAGACCCCCATTCAAGACCAGCCTCAGCAGAACTTGGGGGCAACAACTGTCCCCTTGAGAAGGGAGGGGCTCTCCCCCATTCCCCCATTCCCCCACCCACCCACCCAAGGTCAGAAAGGAAAACCAGGCAGGTGGTCTTTCCTTCAATCCCCAAGCAGCTGTCGGGGGAAGATGCCAGTTCTGGGTTGGGGAGGAAGTGGGATGGTTATTTATAAACCCCCAATCCAGGGCAGACTGCATGGCTCTTTCCCTCCCTCCCTCCCTCCCTCCCTCCCCTTCCCCCTTTCTCCAGGCTGGGTCTGAGACCCTGGAAAGAAGTTGGGGGGGGAAGGGCTGCTTTATCTGTGCCCTTCCTAGAAAATGTCCCAAGGGAGGGAGCTGTCCCAGCTCCAAGAATCAGCAAAGGCCAAAGGGAGGGAGGGGGGGGAGAAATCGGGCTCTGCGTCCTTCCTCCCACCCTTAGGTTTCAGTGTCCCCCCCACCCAAACACACACACACACACACACAGCACCGCCGGTTCTGCAAGGAAAGCTGCGTTTCCCACTCCCCATCACGCCCCTCCCTTGCAAGCAGCGGCAGATTGTTCGGAAGGGGGGGGAGGGAGGGCGGCCAAGGTCCCACCGGCGGATCCCCCCAGCCACCCACCCCTCTTTTTCTCCCGCGCAGATCCAGACAAAAATCTTTCTCTTCCCCCCCCCCGCCCCAGTTCTTCTCCATCCCTTGCCTCCCCCCTCCCCCTCCCCCAAATCCTTCGCGGCAGCATCTTCTTCTCCTCCTCCTCCGAAGCGCTCGCAAATATTTACCTCCCCGATCGGCCGGCTGTTGCTTCCCGCCGGGGGCCTTGGGCTGCTCGGCGCTCTTCTCCATCCTGGATCGTGGGAAGGAGGGATACGGCCGGAGGGGAGGAAGAGGAAGAGGCAGGGGGCCTGGTCTCGCGTGTCCCCCCGTCCCCCTCTCTCTCGCTCGGGTCTCGTGGAAGGCTGTCCTTCCGCGATCCTTTGGCTTTCCGATCCGGGGAGGCTGGGATCAAATCAGGGACGATCTTTTTCTCGGAAACGGGGCGGGGAGGGGGTGGGGGGAGAAGGGGAGGAGGAGGAAGATCTTCCAAAGAATTCAGCAAATCCTCCAGCCTCGCTCTTCCTCTTTTTGCATCGCGGGCGGCTTGTGAACTTGGTTTGAAAGCGAGGTGGTGGCCGGGCGGCAAAGCACAAAGCCGGGAATATTAGGGAGAGAAACCCCTCTCCCCTCCCCAACTCCTGGGGGGAAAAAAATTCCTTTGTACCGTTATTATTTCTCCCCCCCCTTTTTTCCCCCCACCATCCAATATTGCTGGATCGGGAAAAGATGGGGGAGAAAAGGGGTGGGGTTGGGGGGTCCTTAACCCAGGCGGCTGGAAGTAAAAAAAAAAAGAAAGAGAGAGAGAGAGATTTAAAAAAGAAAAGAAAAGAAATTAAAAAAGAGAGGGGGGGGCAGCCAGCAATAAATCCAGCCCGGCTCCGCTAACAGCTGATTCTGCAAAATGACCAGAGCGAGAATCTCAACTATTGTACATCCTCAGTCTGGCCTCTGAAGCTGGGCGCTACCATCACCGGGAGGGGGGGGGAGAGAGAGATCCCTCCCCTCTCCCGCTAGAAACCGCGGACCTTTCGGGTTATCGACCCACGCGCGCTTCCGAGGCCGGGAAGGAGATTCCATGCTCCGGTCCCTGAAGGAAGGAGAGAGAGGGAAAGCTCTTTTTCGGGCTCGCCATGCGGCACCTCCCCCCCCCCGGGTCGCCGCCGCCACTTGGTCGCGCCCGGGGAGCGTGTTGAGAAAGTTCAGATTAGATTCCTCGCCCAGCAGCTGAATTGCGTGACTCATTTGGGAGGGGAGGGGGGAAGAGGGCTGCGGGGAGGGGGGAGGGGGGGATTTCCAAGGCTGGACTAAGGAGGAGGCGATTTCCAAGGAGGGGGGGGGGGGGGGGGGGGTGGGGGGGAGATTGAATGTCTTGTTCATCAGCAGCCCCAATGCAGAAGGTCTCCTGGTCTCCGGAGCTACAGGTGATCTGAGGTTGGAATGGGTTGTTAACGGATTAACAAGAGTTGGAAGGAACTTTGTAGCAGTGGAGAAATCTAAAATTTGTTACTACTGGTTCTGTGGGCGTGGCTTGGTGGAGGGGTGGATAATGTGACTGGGTGGGCTGGCCAATTATTATTTTTTTTATTGACGATCCCAGCTGAGTTGCCTAATTGGCAGAGGCTTTTTTTCTTTTAAATGCCTCTGACGATCAGGCAACTCAGCTGGGATCGTCAGAGGCTTTTAATATAATAGCATTTTTTCAGCCGAAGAGGTTGTAGAAAAAAATGCTTTTAAAAGTAAAAAAAAGCCTCTGATGATTGTGTGGCTCAGCTGGGCATGGGGGGGGCAGGGATTTTTTCTACTGGTTCTCTGAACCACCCGCCTCCATCGCTACCGGATCGGGTGATCCAGTCCGAACTGGAGCATTTCACCCTTGCCTTGTAGGTTATCTAGTCCAGAGATCTCCAACTTTGGCAAAGCTGGCTGGGGAATTCTGGGAGTTGAAGTCCTCCCGGCTTAAAGTTGCCAAGGTTGGAGACCCTTCATCTAGTCCACACACACACACACACACACACACACATACCTGCCCAAGCAGGAGATCCTGCACCATTTCTGACAGATGGCTGTCCAGTCTCTTCTTGAAAGCCTCTACGGATGAAGCGCCAACAATTTGGAGCCTGATGCAGTGGCTCAGTGGCTAAGACACTGAGCTTATCGATCAGAATGGTCAGCAGTTTGGCGGTTCGAATCCCTAGCACAGGTCTCCTGCGTGAGCAGGGGGTTGGACTAGATGACCTCCAAGGTCCCTTCCAACACTGTTAATCTGTTAAAATAATGTTCTCACAGTGAGAATAATCAACCCATGGAACAGAAGTTGCCTTCTGACGTTGTGGGAGCTTCATCACTGGAGACTTTCAAGAAAAGATTGGATTTCCACTGGTCAGAAATGGTATAGGGTCTCCTGCTTGAGGGGGGGAGGGGTGGACTAGATGACCTATAAAGTCCCTTCCAAGTCTGTTAATGTGTAAAAATAACTGTTACTGTTAAACTTCTGAAGGCAGCTTCTGTTCCATGGGTTGATTGTTCTCACTGTCAGAAAGTTCCTCCTCATTTCTAGGTTGAATCTCTCCTTGATCAGTTTCCATCCATTATTCCTTGTCTGGCCTTCAGTGCTTTGGAAAACAGCTTGACCCCCTCCTCTCTACGGCAGCCTGTCAAATGTTGGAAGACTGCTATCATGTCTCCCCTGGTCCTTCTCTTCACTAGACTAGACTAGCCATGCCCAGTTCCTGCAACCGTTTTTCATATGTTTTAGTCTCCAGTCCCCTAATCGTCTTGGTTGCTCTTTTCTGCACTCTTTCTAGAGTCTCAACATCTTTTTTTATAGTGTACTGACAAAAAAAGGAGGGGGGTTGTTGTCCTCTCCGTGCCTTCATCCTGATTGGAAGAATGATGAGGGCAGAGGGTCTCACCTCGGAATCCTTGATTACGTGCCCCCAACTTTTGCAGCCTTCTGACAAGCAAAGTTAACGGAGAAGCCAGATTTACTTCACAGCCATGTCACTAATTTAACAACTGCATTGATCCACTTAACTACCGTTGCAAGGAAGGTTATAAAATGGGACAAAATTCTCTTGACAAATGTCTCACTTAGCAGCAGAAATGTTGAGGTCAGTTGTGGTCATAAGTCAAGGACTACCTGGTATTTCTGTCTCTAGAGAGAGATAATTTGAAGATTTAGGGGTGGGGAGTGCTATTATAAATCTATATCAGAATATTTGAAATATAGAAGGTACTCTTCATTAATTTGCACATTTTAACACTCCATAATTGCACTCATCGAAGTCGCATTTAAAATTCTGAAAATAGTTCTATCCTTTTAAATGCAAATTGCAAAATCTGACTTAACACACTGCTGAAAGAGAGCAGTGTATGCTAAAATATTAAACATACAACAGTACAATATTTATAGCCCTTGTATTGATATCTAGAAGAATCTACAATGGAGCCTTCAATTCTTTAGGATTTACATCTGAGGATAAACCCAATTGTGTCCCAAATTAAATTTCTGACTTCCAGTGCTTCATAAAATATTGTAGGTTTGAGATGAAGAGTGACTTTTTATCCGATTAATCACTTCCAGCATTTAATTCAGTCCTTCCTTTCTCTCATTTTCCTAACTGTTCCAAAATAAAAACCAAGCGCATGACAAAACAACATACAGTTTTCCAAACCATTGCAAAGAGGTTACTCATTTTTCTTTTTATGGGCCTAAAATGCTTCCATATTTATACTGAGAAGCACCATTTACTCATCATTGCCTAGTGAGTGAATTATATAATTGTGCCTTGATCAGCAAAGGTTCATAAGCAAGAGAAACCTGACTGGGGATGATGGGCTTTGTTTATCCAATATCTCTGAAGGATCCCAGAGGTTTGTGTATGATTTTAATTCGATCTTACGGAAGGTATAGTTCACCCTGTAAGTAAAAAGACAGCCATGGCTGCTCCAAATCAGATAGAATCTGGTAGCATCTTTTCAGATGAACAAATCTGATTCAAAGGCATAAACTTTTGTGAGCTATCAAACTCTGTCTGATTCTTCTATAGCTTCAATACTCTTTTGGAGCTGACTGTCCTTGTCTGGGCTAAGAGCTAAATAGGGTTAGATTTGGTTGACAATTAGGATTATAAATTAGCCCAGTGTTTCTCTTTTTTATGATCATCGTATTTGATGGAGCAAATCTGTGTTTCCAATTTTGTGCAAATGAAATTCTGGCGGCCGTAATTATGTGAAGTATAAGGTAATAAATTTCTTTCCTAATCATCTCTTTTATAATTCCCCCCAAAAATAGTTAGGGTTTCATAGCAATTTTTCCCCCTGTCATTTCCTCTAACCATTTTTGGATTTTTAACCAGTATGCCTTTGCTTTGGGACATGTTCACCACATGTGGAAATATGTCCCATGTTGATTGCATTTCCAACAATTTGGTGCGTTTTTAGGGGATATCTTGGCCAATCTCACCAGGGGTAAATGCCACCTATAAAACATTTTGTAAATATTTTCTTTATAGGCAGCCCATGTCATCTTATAATTTGTTCCCCATAATTTTTGCCAGTACTCTAATTCAATATTCCCAGAATATTTCACATCTTCCCTGGGCAAGATGTGAAAATAACAGCTGAAGAAGACAATGGATAACCATCTCTACGCTGTTGCTAGGAAAACAGCACAGAAGTGTCTATGAAGCCTACAGCATCGCATCTGAGCTGCTAAGATCCAGATGACCATTAGATTGTCTCAGGATTCCAATCTGGGCTGCTAAACTTCAGATGACCCCCTAGATGACTACAGAAATCTCTTCTTGGTTGCCACCTATTAATCACCTGGATTTTTGCAGCTCAGGTCAAGCTTGACTCAAAGGAGATCTTCACGTCTTATAGAATAAATGGGGATTTTAACATCTCTGGGGGTTATGGAACAGATGAGGTAGGACACCTAATGTTCTCCAGATATTTTACTGTCCTGCTGTCCATCCACTATGGCCAACGATTAGAAATGATAAAGTTGTCCAACAAATAGGACTGCATCTACTTCAGAGGGAAAGACTGTCCATGGATTCTTAACTCCGCACCGTCAATAAGATTATGAGTTGGGGTGCCTTCAGGTGGAGTCCCTTCACTTGACAACTTCTAGGTTGCTCAGTACTCACTCACTCCACTTAGATTACTTGCAGAGCTGCCTCCCATATTTTTTAGCAGGTAGCTGTGCCTGTACATCAGGGGTGAAATCCAGCAGGTTCTGACAAGTTCTGGAGAACCAGTAGCGGAAATTTTGAACAGTTCGGAGAACCGGCAAATACCACCTCTGGTTGGCCCCAGAATGAGGTGGGAATGGAGATTTTGCAGCATCCTTCCCCTGGAATGGGGTGGGAATGGAGATTTTGTAGTGTCCTTCCCCTGAAGTGGGGTGGGAATGGAGATTTTGCAGTATCCTTCCCCTGCCATGCCCACCAAGCCACACCACACCACGCCCACCAAGCCATGCCCACAGAACTGGTAGTAAAAAAAAAATTGGATTTCACCACTGCTGTACATCATTTTGTTGCTCCCAGAGGAGCTGTCCCATGCAGGTGCTATGGAGAAGACAACAATCTTCCCAGGTCACCTTGGGCAGCTACTCTCCACCCTTCTCTCTAATTCACAATGACGGGTTTGGAATAACCTATCAAGATGTTGTTGCATCTACAGTTCATTGAATAGGAGAAGAGCATTTCTCAAGGACACCCACCCACCTCCAATCCCATTGTTGTGCATCTTAATGACATCGTCCTTCTTCCTGACTTCTGAAAGCTCTTCAGAGCTCCTCAAAGTACGGATCTTCAGGACGGAGCTCAAAGCAGCCTCCAGGGAGCAAAAAGAGAGCTTGAAAGGATGGACTGATCATACCTGTCCATGGTCAGGTATGACCTG